TTAGCCTTTGCCCTGCTTCATTCCATACTCCAAGGCCAAATTTGCCTGTTACTCCAGGTGTTTCTTGACTTCCTACTTTTGCATTCTAGTCCCCTATAACGAAAAGGACATCTTTTTTGGGTGTTAGTTCTAAGAGGTCTTGTAGGTCTTCATAGAACCGTTCAACTTCAGCTTCTTCAGTGTTACTGGTTGGGGCATAGGCTTGGATTACCATGATATTGAATGGTTTGCCTTGGAAACAAACAGAGATCATTCTGTCATTTTGAGATTGCATCCAAGTACTGCATTTCAGACTCTTTTTTGACCATGATGGCTACTCCATTTCTTCTAAGGGATTCCTGCCCACTACAGTAGTAGATATAATGGTCATCTGAATTAAATTCACCCATTCCAGTCCATTTTAGTTTGCTGATTCCTAGAATGTCAATGTACACTCTTGCCATCTCCTGTTTGACCACTTCCAATTTGTCTTGATTCATGGACCTAACATTCCAGGTTCCTATGCAATATTGTTCTTTACAGCATCAGTCCTTGCTACTATCACCAGTCCCACCCACAACTGGGTATTGTTTCTGCTTTGGCTCCATCCCTTCATTCTTTCTGGAGTTATTTCTCCACTGAAATCCAGTAGCATATTGGGCACCTGCCGACCTGGGGAGTTCTTCTTTCAGTATCCTATCACTTTGCCTTTCCATACTGTTCATGGGGTTCTCAAGGCAAGAATACTGAAGTGGTTTGCCATTCCCTTCCCCAGTGGACCACATTCTGTCAGACCTCTCCACCATGACCCGTCCGTCCTGGGTGGCCCCACACGGCATGTCTTAGTCTCACTGAGTTAGATAAGACTGTGGTCCTGTGATCAGATTGGCTCGTTTTCTGTGACTGTGGTTTCGGTGTGTCTGCCCTCTGATGCCCTCTCGCAACACCTACCTTCTTAATTGGGTTTCTCTTACCTTGGACGTGGGCTATCTCCTCACGGCTGCTCCAGCAAAGCGCAGCTGCTGCTCCTTACCTTGGACAAGGGGTATCTCCTCACGGCCGCCCCTCCTGACCTTGAACGTGGAGTAGCTCCTCTCAGCACTGCTGCGCCCGAGCAGCCGCCACTCCTTGGAGGTGGGGTAGCTCCTCTCAGCCGCCACCCCTAAACTCGGGCGTACAGCTAAACAAATTAAAAAAAAAAATTTAATACCTCACATCTCCAAACACCTGCTTAGAACATTATTATCACATACTCAGCCCTGGTGTTAGAACAAATGACACTTTTCTAGGAAATCATGTGGCAATGAGACAGGGTGCTTCTCCACTTGCTGATGGAGCTGGCTGCTGAGAAGCCAGCCCTTCCTAGTGCTTTTTGCTCTTGATCTCCTGTTCTCTCACAACCAAAAAGCTATTTAGAATGAAGTGTTTAGTCACAGGCAAGTCATTTTATCTCAGGTCAATCATTTGTGAAATTGAAATCCTATTCCACTATGTTTTGTTGACTTTGCAAAGATAAGAGAAAAAGAACTCAAAATTTTCAAGTCTTCTGTAAAAGGGTGACATGCAAGGAAGAAAATTCCATGCACTTTGGAGAGGAAATATTTGTGTAGG